AAGGGAGCCAATAACGGTCAAGGCTGGATCGCAGTGCTTATTATAATTATGTATGAATTTTATTGCGTATGTAGTCCCCCCAAAAATCGCGACGTTGATAGTTTTTCAGCATTGACGCATACATACTTACTAACGCAGTAATATCACGAATTTAATTGATTAACAATTTTTGATGCTCATAGCATCGTGGATCTTAATAGTGTTTTGAATGACATTAAAATCTGAAGATAATAAATTAAAATTCGTGATATTACTGCGGTAGTAAATATGTATGCGTCAATGCTGAAAAACTATCAGCGTCTCGATTTTTGGGGGGACTACATACGCAGTATAAAAAATTCACACATAATTATAATAAGCACTGTGATCCAGCTTTGACCGTTATTGGCTCTCTTCTTCTTGTTTGTGTTTATTATTTGTACGGCCCTAGAAAGATTTTAATACTCAATATTAACATTTCAAATAATAGAAATTTTAAGTCCTTGAGCTTAAAATTTGTAATACTTACTAAATGTTAATGTTCTTTATTTTGTATATATTTTTTTAATTTTGAAACACTAACACTTTTTGTATTAGGTTGACGTACCAGATGGTGTGGCCATTACTTGGCAACATGTCTCTAAATCTACAATGCAATATAAATTGCGTTTAATGCATAATCAAGAAGAGATTCAGGGACAAAAAGTGTTTATTGCAAACGATTTGACCAAGCAAAACATATCCGTAAGTAAAATGCATGTGTGTTTTAAACGCATTTATGTAACTATGATGTTAGCAATTATTATTTTATGACACGTTTCTTTCCAGCTTCATATACGTGTTGCGAGGTATAATCAATTCATCCCTATGTCTGGAGTACAATGGATCAATTACATGTATTTTCAAAGATACACGCTGGGAACGTTTGCTGTTATTGTGATTACAATTTTTTATGGTAAAGCTAGATTTGAATTTTTTAAAAATATTATTACTTATATTATTTTTAGTACTATATTAACGTGAATTTTGTGGTTTTTCAGTCTGGAAACATAAAGTAGCTGCTGTCGATTTAACAATCAGGAACAGAAGTATTTTTGGTATGTATACCATTCTTTTTTTTCAGGATTTTACTTATTGACATTAATGTTACTATATTTATCTTACATTGTTTTTCTCAATGCAACATTATGACATTAATGATATTCTTTATAGCTGATAAATCTCCGCCGATGATAAAAAAGACGATCTGTACTCCATGTACAACTACTCCGACGACTACTACTCCAAGTAGCAGTCCGCTCCGAACTCCGCCGCTAAGGCCTTTTTCGGCATTCGAAACATCTGTGACATATGGTGACCCTCGTAGTTTTGGTACACCATATATTAGGAGAAGAGATATACATTAGAACTCTCTAAATTATTGACAAAAATTTGTCAGAAAATAATGTCCGTTTCAATATCGCTAGGAAACATTTAAATTAAAATACTCAATTTCATGAGAAAGGTTTAGTTTTGCCAAAAAAAAGCTTCTAATGCTTCCATTAAGAATTATTTTCATTATAGTGAATCATTGCAGAATTGTGCCTTAAAGTCAAAATTGTCATCTGTTTTGTTAATGGAAACAATTCTACATTTCTTAAGAAAAACAAGCTTAGCTTTTGTAAAATGTTATATTTATCTCTTTGCTTGATGTGACAGAAATGTATGATATTATATATACATATGTATGATTAGCAGTATGTGTATGTGTGTGTGTGTGTGCAAAGTGCGATTCTAATAGTATGTTGTTAACATTGCCATGATACACGATTCTGTGTACTATCTTCATTTTTATAACGATATCGACAGTTCCTAGTCATGCAACTATATATTTTTAGTTGCGTAAATAAAATTACAGCCAACTTATTATTAATATACACGATATTATATTGCATATTATCACAGAAAGGAAAACTTTTTTTGTTTTGTGAGGCTGTGATATGTATACATTTCTAGAATATATGTATAGCAATACAATCTTTCAAGTTGTATTCTAAGTTGAATAGAGAAGCGTTAGAAATAGCTTAACCATTCACTTGTTAAGTAAAAAAACCCAGATTAGATTTCTGGTGCCAAATATAATGTAAAACATTTTGAGGAGAAATAAGAAAAAAGAAAACTCAAGAAAATTTAGTAATAAATCAAAATATTTTACTCTCTTTAGATGACAAAAATATCCAAGAAGTTGAAATATACTCATAAATACAAACAATGCAACATGATGTTCATAAATAGTGTCACGTTTATTACAAAAGTATATGTATGTAATGGAACAGTTGTGTTTCTTACAATAATATAGGAAAATTTATAAAGTGACCTAGACATTTCTAGAAACGACTCTAATATGTAATATATTAATGTTTTTTTGTGTTTTTCAATAATTTTTCATATTTACATTTACTCGAGTACCACAAAGCAAATGGAATGAGCAGGGAAGGTAGAGTCATCACGGCGAACGCGGCCCAATCGACCTGCAAGATACAACAAGTTGTATTGTAGCGTTAAAACTTAACTCTAAGATATATAGAAATAGATTAAAAATTTAAGATGATACATAGATATACTACTTAATTTTCAACTAAGGCCTTAGGTAATAATTATTGTAATTTTGTTATAAAGGAAACAGTGTAACATACATTATACAATATATGACAAAAATAAAATAATTTACAATCATCTTGGCAAAAACAAAATAAAATTAAATATCGTCGTATAAATTGAGAAATAGAAAATAAAAATGCGTAAATAGTACAGTTACAATATGTACACTTTGTGATATATAAGACTCTATAGTATTTATTCTTCTTGTTATATATATACATATATATGTGATTATATTTTTAATTGTAAAGATCTATAAAGTTACTTCTTTCTGTAATACCTTGTAACTACTCTATTACAAATAATATTTGTATAATTGTTATACAAATATACGCGTTCATATTTACCACATGAGATGAAAACTGTTTGTCATAGTCCCTGTATGCCACAATGAGCCCTTCGCCAGGCTCGCTGCTCACAGCCACTTGTAATCTAGGAGCATCTTCCTTGCGACGATAGAGAACTTCAGCTGAAGTAAAGTTGAAATATCCAAACTTGCGCGGCCTTACTACTACAGTATGGCTCACATTGGTATAGGGTGGTACGCGATCAATTCTAGCGTTCAACTCGCCGCTTACGTGAGTGAAATGATCTGGATGGAACGAATTGTCCGTGATCTCAACCTCCAACGCTGCCACGTTGCCAGTATTATAAATAGTATACTACAAATTGTTTATGTTTAATAATATTTTAATGCGAATTATTAAGTAAAATAATATTTTAACAGTTTAGAAAACATCCATTGAAGTAGATCATTAGCCACGTTCAGCAAAATGTTTACTTACAACTGTTAGAAATTTTCTTTGCGTTAATTGAATTACACTTTTACACATAGATCTGAAAGAATGTGTGATCCTATCTTTCAATGAAGAAAACTTTCACAGTTGCAAAATAAACATTTTGCTAAATACAGCCATTTTGAAAGAATGTTTCAATAGATCTGTTTGTGTTATTTAAAGTCCTTAAAACTTTATGCACTTAAAATGAGATAAACGTATATTTAGGCTTTGAAGAAAAAGAAAGCAAAAAGATACACTAAATATAAAAAGTATAAACAATCCAAAACAGATTTAATAAAGTGATTATGTCAGAAGCATTGAATATAGCAGAAATCTCTTTTTGTTACCTTAATAACTATGTCCATATTTTCTACCAAGAATTTGTTGAGTATCTGTTTAGAAACTAATAATCTAGCAGCTTCCTCCTCCTCCTCTGCATATACAGTTATACACAGTGCAGCGAGTGCTGCGAATAAGATGTGCCACTTCATTCTGTAAAATTAAAAGGTCTTATTAACTATTTTGTTATCAATTTTCGTTGTAAAACGCTATTAATGTACATAAATTCACCGATGTGAGTTGCTTAGTTCATACATCACGATACTTTATGTCAACTTTTCATTGATTTATTCGTTTATGTGCAACTTGACGATTCCGTCATCGAGTAGGACTCTGACAGATGCATTCAAAAGTAACGCAATTTGTATGAAATTTTTATAATATCTCAAAGATATTGTGGAACAATTATCTTGTTTATTATTACGGTCGTAATTATTCCATTTCGGGGCAGAAATTCGAGAATATGTGTGATGTACCACTAAAAGTTTCGACCTGTTATCAACCTCAAGAGAAAAATCCTTCGATTTTATCCTCGCGAGTGTGTTTAAAAATAAAAAAGTGAAGCGTAGAACTCACGCTGTTCTCTGTAAAGATGTTTGATGACCGATGATTATTGCTACCCGCTGTCTCAAAACGCGCAAACAGTCTTTTGTTTCACTCACTCAGTGCCAATTGTCCCATACGTACGTATACAACAGGAGCACCCGACACCGGAATGGAATATACCCGGGAGACGTGCCAACAGCGCCCTGTACGCTGCCACGTTTCCGGACACGGGATGATAGGTCCATGTACACATCGTTACTTCCGGTACGCTCTGTGAGCGCTAAGATGGCGATGGCGCACCTTTCGTATGAACTTATGAATGCATTTGCCCTCCCAACCCGAATAACTTCATTCTTAAAGTACCAATAATTCTCAAAATTGACGTAGAAATATAAAGCAATCGACGATCTTCGTGAGAACTCCTTAATGAAATTTTTATTAATAAATCCGAAATGGAAAAATAAAAAAAATTTCATCGGAATTAAGAGGAAAGGGGTGTTCTGATTAATTGTCAAACCCGGATTACAAAGTATTTCAGTGTACAAGATATATTGTATAAAATTTTCTTGTTACATTAAAAAATGTCGACGTTGATCTTGTGCCTCGCTCTTGATTCTTGATAAATAAGGGAAATTATCGCTGTAAAGTGCAAATTGAATAGGTGCAAGTGTAGAAGTATAAAATGTAGAACTGCTCCTCCGTTGACGATCAGCTGATCGTGACAGTCGCTCGATTGGATTATTATGCGCGGTGGAAAAATACAGTTGATTTCATTACTTTGATCATACATATTTGTTTGAATATAGAAAAATTTTGAAAAGAGAAAGATAAAAGGTAGAAGACCGTGTCTCAGAAGAAACGAGCGTCTATTTTGAAGGAACAATTCCGTGACGCGACGATCCTGACTTATTTCGTTTACATGCAAGGACTGTGTGATTAGAGTTGCTATATATTTACATCTTAACATGTCGAATTGACACGTCGAAGTAACATTTAAAACTGCGAGATTTCGGCCTGACGTGATATTTCAAACGATGGCTGCTAAAGTGTATCAATCTGATCAAGAGTTAGAAACGAAAGTTAAGAAAGGTTAGGGTTATTTTGATACCTTTTTAAGCCCTTTCTACAATTGCGTAAGCACGTTATAAGTAATTGTTGTGTTGTAAGAGCTATGTATGGCAGACAGAAAACTAAAGCAATAAGAAAATCAACATGTTGCCGTTGTTTACATTATATAATCTTAAGGTCTTTATTGTGATTAGCTAATTCGATCGTGTGGTTGGTTAATTTATAAATATAAATTTAAAATTATTTACAATTAAGCTTAAATAATTGTAAATTGAGCTTTAATTTAACTTATTTGAAATTTTTGACCTGATATCATAAGTTGAGTTACAGACTCAACAGTTCTATGTCGATTAGCTTTTAAGAATTAAAAAGGATTAAATATATACACATATGTTAACATTGATATATGTATAATATGTGACAGAACACAAATATTAATTCATGATAAAATTTTGTTGTTGTAGCAACGGAACGTATATCAGAAAACATGCACATCGTCGCGAACGAGCCATCGCTTGCATTTTACAGACTGCAGGAACACGTGAGGAAAGCGTTGCCACCAATGGTGGAGAAACGCGTAGAGGTGCTAGCGCTGCAGCAACAATTGTTAGGTAGATGCTACGACGTGGAGTATGCGGTCAGCGCTATCCGAACGATGCAGGGCGCTGGGAAGAGTTTTGAGAATACCTTGGAATTCATCAAGAACGCTATATTTTTCAAGCAGCAGCTCAAGTACGAGGAGCAAAGGCGACATAAGAAGGACGGCAGTAGGGACTCTGTCTACAAGAGACTGTCGGCGCATATCCCGACGTTGGATCATCTACCGGATGAGATCTCGGACGTGGTACGGGAAACAGCGAATCGCGTGGAATCGATGATGAATCATGCCCGTCACTCAAGCGATACACAACGATCAACCACCACCCACAATTAGAAAGATGGAGGAAGGAACGCTCGAATTTCTGTGATAACAGCTCGCTCATTCGTGAATTTTATACGTGTAGATTACAACGTCGTACATAATACTATTGCTACAATAAACATGATGAACAGAAACATTTCTACTCTTATTTTCTTAGTGATGCGACAACTCGTTTATTTCGAGAATCGAGTAACTCGTATTCATTTTAGTAAAGAATCGAATCTGAACTTGAGTTCGCGGACTCGAGTCGAATAATTTAAATATTATATTAGATACAATTTAAACTCAACTAAATTGAAAATGTGTACTATGGTGCAGTTGAGAGGTGTATATACATGATCTTATTTTAATAAAAATTTTCAAGAATCAATTTGCAAATCTGACTCTGTACGAGCCTTCCCAGCAATATAACAATGAAATCCCAACAGGTTTCATAAGGAAATATTATTTCTTCGAGAAGAAAAATGAGCATAACTGATCTAGATCTGCACTGATCTGCACTCATAAATGTATACCTTTATGCTGAAATTATGGCTAAAATATAACATGAATCGTGTTTTGATTATGATATTCGTAATCAGAAAAGGCTCTTGAAGGCTCGTACAGAGCTATTTTTTTGTAAAAAAAGGCATAACAAAAATATTTCTGGTCTTCACGGGTCACTCCTGTCGACCCTTAAGAATCGAGTTTGACGAGTCCAGGACTCGACTCGTCGCATCACTTTACTTATTCTGTTGTCACAAGTATCATTATTCTATCATAAACGACTGATGTACGTCCCCGTCTTACGATTTTTACGTTAGTTTTTATCGAGTTTTTTTACACGTTGCACAAATATGCATTTTAATTACGACTCGAATTAATAGTGCATATATTAAATCGCATTACTGATAACATTACAATTTTTTTAAATATAATTTCCACATGTTTTTGTTGTAGAATGTCATTTTAAATTAATGTCGAATATACCTTGATAATTTTATTTTACTTTTAAATTGGAAAGAAGAAACTTTATGCAAATTTTTTTTAAGAACGTACGTTGATAGATCTCACGAATAATATTACATGCATATATACATTATATAGTAAAATGATTCTTTTATCTTTGGCTAGAAAAATGCATCTGCGAATAAAAACACGCAGAAACGTCCGTTCAGCGAATTTATATCTTGTTGCGTAGAATTTTCATTATCATAAGCGTATAACAAAAATATGTTTTACCAAAATAGCGATGAATAATACTAAATTATTATTATTATTATTAATGATATAATGTAATGTGTGTGATTAAATAAGACTATACATATTCAAAAAATCATGTTAAATATAGCGTACTTTTTATTATAGTTATCGATTATTTATAAAATTTCTAAAGTGTCAGTTATTGACGATCATCTATCACTATATAATTACAATAATGATAAATATATGTTAATCGCTCGTGGGAACGGTACAGGAGTCTACGAATCAAGTGTATTCTGGCATATTAATTCGTGAGAAGGTGGGTTAAACTAGAGATGTACCGACCTAATTCTGGCAAGGATGTGCCACGATCAATACATGATGCAATACGTTTCCGAAATGTCGTGTAGATGTCGTAATGAAAGGATTTGCACTTCGGTTCGGACAGTCGTCGTCCGCATAAAGTGGCATGAACTACATTCAACTACATGCAGTGCGGTTAATGCAGCTGGGTGATTAGATGCCGGGAAGATGAGAGTTGGTTAAAGGGGAGAGCACCCGAAGGGGTGGCGTCGACTCGCGGCAGACGGCACCTCCTTGGTGGCATCATCGACGTCCCGGCACATCGTAACGTAAGTCAGTCATTTAAGTCTGTCTTTTATTTGTACACTAGACTGCACTCTCTTTCTCGCTTTCGTCGAATATTAAATATACACCTATCTCACTTTAAGTTCCAAAAGTGTACACTAACTCGGCTACAAAAAATAGACCCGTTGTTCGCTGTCTCTGCACATATAGGTTATGTGTTGCCTGATTGTACAACGATCCGTGTAAAACATATTTATTTATCGCACGTGCTTGTAATAACGCAATCTCTGCGCAGATAGACCGAAAATGTGGAAGGCATTTATCAACCGGTTGATCGATCGACGAGCGGAATTTTCGGACTCTGACAATTAATTTAAATGACTTCATTGGTAACGACAAATTACATGTATTCTCTCTTTTTACCAGTTCCACTCTCCTTTCTGTAAAAAATTTAGGATTTAGGATCGTTTGACGATATTGGATCGAACTATCGAACGATGAACTTTGCTCCATTTTTTGTAACAATAGGACGACTTTGATAAAACTGATAAACTTAATCGGCGGTTAATTCGACCGACAGAACTCCTTAATAAAATTTCTAATATACGGTTTGTTATTTTTAATTTTTCTATACATTAAACATAATTCTATTAATGAATTTAATAGCTTTATTCATATTAGTTGAATTAATTCGGGTTAGGTTGAGGTCTCTGTTATGACCCAATTCCACTTCTTTATTTTTTTTCTAATTCTAAGAATCTTAATCTTACATTGATGAAACGGGGCCGTAAAATTAGAAAAAGGTAAAGTAAAAGTAAATTGAACTGAGATTAAAGTTAATCTGTGACTAGGCTGCTTATAAACTAAGATAAATAATGAGCATATACCACTACACTGGATCTTTTTTATGAGAAATTGTCTTTAATATAATTCAATTAAAATAAACGTTTTTCGGTCTTAAATGTGACCATCTTAAAACGTTTTTTTTTTTCGGTCCTAAATGTGACCATATTCATTAATTTTATTTTATAGGCTGCTTATATCCATATTTAAATATTATGCATATATCCATGTTTAATCTCGTTTAACTTACTTTTTTAACTTGTTGTGTTCTCACACACAAATAGAATCAGAAACGAAGAGATTAAAGAAAATCTATATACATTAGTAGAAACGGGCATTAGACGTCATTTGCATTCTTTGAAACTTTCTATACTTTTTTCTAAATACTCGTAATATCCTTTAATTTTGAAGAATTTTTGTTAAGTATCCTTGTATATTCTCTTGTTTTTATAACAATTAATTATATGAAATAATATCTTTAACAGTCTAACTGGATCTTAAGTGCTCGTATAATTTCGTGTGAATTTATATACTACATATGTAGTCCTTTAAATTACACGCCGAAACAATTTTTCGGTCTTACGTAAATTCTATCGAACTACCACAGTAATATCACGAGTTAAATTGACTATAGTAATTTAACAATTCGATCTTCTTTACGCATTTTACACACACACAAGAGAGCACAACCAATTGCTTTCCGATTTTGATGAGTTTTTAATATGTTGTTTTGTGGATAAAAATCAGAGATACGTATCTTTTTTGTATATCAGCTGAACTGCACGTTAAAAGGGTGAAACACCTCTCTTAAAAACAATCTTTTTTTTTCGGACCCAATACGAAAATATCGTCGAAATTATAAGAGATAGAAAAACATTTTTTAAATGAAAATTATAATGAATATTGGACTATAGAACTATAATAAAAAACTTTAAACCTGTAATAAAAAATTGTTTATTATAGTTTTAAACTCTTGAAGCCATTTTCTATTTTTATTGTGAATCTTTTTCTATAAAAGTTTCAACGATAATCATTTTTGTGCGAAGAAGGAGAAGATATAAAAAAATACTTATCTCTTATTTTTCTTCATTTTCGGATATTGAAAATTGTTTAAAAAATTAATAAATAATTTTTATCATCAGAATTCTTTGGAACTCGTCAGGGCAGAGTTAGATCTACGCGATAAATGCCATAAATCTTTCAGAACTATCACCAATCGGCCAGCATATCACACATATGCTATGAAAAGTGCCTTTTTCGGGTGTAAAAAATTGTTTAAATAATTTATGATTATTTTTTATCATCAAAACTCTTCGGAACTCGTCAGGTCTACATGATAAGTACCGCATTTTTCACAGAACTGTCGTCATTCGGCTAGCATATCACGTGTTAATATATACCGTTAATATATACCTGTACGTGTTAATATATACCTAATCGAGTCTTGAAAACAAGATGTTAATGTTTATTATATTGTGTGAAATTTATATACTGCGTATGTAGTCCCCCCGCGACGCTGATGGATTTTCAGCATTGACGCATACATATTCACTACCGCAGTAATATCACTTTAGTTAAATTGAGAATCAATTTAACCACTTTTTGATGCCTATAGCATCTTATTAGATCTTAATAATATGTTGGAAGACATATATTAAAATTTAATAATAAATTAATAATTTAAACTCAGAGAAGCTGAGATTGTGAAGAATATCACGAGTTGGCGTTTCGTCCCGGCTTCCACTACTGGACTCATCAGTAAGGTAATGTAGTGGGAGCCTACCTTAGACGCCTGGAAAGATGTTAGAAAGAAGTTCTATATAAACAATTACACATGTAATCAAGCACTTGCGAGAAATGGCATGAGTAACTATAGACCTCTGTTGGCTAGTCGACGAAGTGATATTCTTCACATTGTTCGCGTCGCGGGGGGACTACATACGCAGTATATAAATTTCACACAATATAATAAACATTAACATCTTGTTTTCAAGACTCGATTAGGCTTTACACTTTACACTTTCCTCGATTTTTAAATCATACGAGTCAATTATTATTATCTTTCATTATATTAATATATACCGTTTTCGAGCAGTTTATTTGGTTTTTTGGCTAGAAGTATTGAGTTTTAACGATAGAACTCTTTGGTTTCTTGTATTTTACACCGCATACGTTCGAAATCCGGTGAGATGCTGGATGGTAAGATGGGAAGTTGGCATCTCATATTTTAAATCGATTTTCTGGACGTAATTCGGTAGAACTATTGATAAAACCGATATAGAACTGTAGAACTATGGTGGATGCGAGCAGAACTGTTGTCATTTTTTGCAATGCTGATATATGATATGCTAGCTTCACAGACGTCTTTTCATCGTAGGGAAAAAGTTTCATGATCGATACCCTTGTTAGAACGATCTTAATAACATATTCAAATCTATAAATATTTAATTCTTATTGCAAAAAATACCTCGGCCAGTAGTTGAACCCGAATCTTTAGCATTCCGTGCGAGTCTCGTTAGTCTTAAAGACTTAGGGTGGAATGAATAGAGGTCCGGATTCGATTCCCGGCCGAAGTAATATTTTTCTCAATAAGAATTTGTTATTTACAAATTTTGAAGTCATTCAACATTATTAAAATCGTTTTAAGATACGTAAAGAACATCGAATTGCTAAATTGCTAGTCAATTTAACTCGCAATTTACTGCAGTAGTTTAATAGAATTTGTGTTTCAAGATCGAAAAATTGCGCAGTTTTTGAAGGACTACATACGTAGTGTATAAATTTACACAAAATTATGTATAAGCACCTAAGATTCAGCTAGTTAAAGGCATTATTTCCTACTGGTTATGGTCTCACATGTACAGTCCTTTGAGATTTAATATTTAATTATACATAATTGTATAATTAATTATATTCTTATATTAGATATTTGAATAGATGTTGAGTAATAATATCGAAAAACGTCATGATTTTATTGAGACGAAAAATAAGTGTGTCAAAGTACAAACAAGCTACGAAGTTTCAATTTTCTTGGCCTTTATAAGTTACTTTATTGTCATAATTTTAAATCACAATATGGAATAATTTTGTCAGTGCAGTGAAATTAACTTTTATATTGTTTTAAACTTCTGTGAGGTATAACGTTAAACAAAGTTTACTTAACACTTATTCGTACTCTAATCAGGAAAAAAATTTCAGTGTTATATTCGAATTAATTATTACAATTGAATCAATTCAAAGTTATGTGTCTCACGATTTAGGCCTAGAACTTTATTTTTCAATGTCGCATATGAAAATATTGTGAAACTATAATATACGAGGGCAAGTCAATAAGTTTTTAGAAAAACATAGTAAAACACATTTTTTTTGATCGATTCATTTTTATTTCTCAACATAGTCTCCTTTCAGTTCGATATACTTGATCCAACGATTCTCCAACTTTGTCAAGCCGTCCGAATAATATGGTTTATCCAATCTTTCAAAATAAGCCTCTTTCGGCGATGAGCTGTTCTCTGATGGTGAATCTCTTTCCTCCGAACCATTTCTTCAGGTTTGGAAACAGAAAATTGTCGCAGGGGGCTAAATTTGGCGAATATGCTAGATGGGGAAGCAATTCGTAGCAGAATTCGTTGAATTTGGCCATCAATGCCGGGCACATGTGAACTCATGCATTGTCTTGATGGAAGAGCACTTTCTTCTTCGCCAAATGGGGACGTTTTTTCTTTAAAATATTGTTGAAATGGTCCAATAAGTAGTAATCGCCATTGATCGTTTGCTTCAACGGAAGGAAATCGATATGAATTATACCGCGTGTATCCCAAAAAACTGTGGCAATCACTTTTCCAGCCGACTTCACGATCTTTGCCTTCTTCGGAGCTGATTCACCCAGTGAAGTCCATTGTTTTGACTGTTCCTTCGTCTCAAGTGTGAAGTATAATGGATCCATGCTTCGTCCACAGTAATTAATCGACGCAAAAATTCATCTGGATAATGTTGAAACATCTCCAAACATTGTTTTGAAGTTGTTACACGGTCGCGTTTATGGTCCACAGTGAGCAAACGCGGCACCCATTTTACCAATAGCTTTTTCATATTCAACTGTTCGTGCAAAATTGAAATCACTGTGTTATGTGATATGCCTGTGGCCTCAACAAGCTCGCGCACTTTCACTCGTTGATCAGTCAAAACAATATCGTGGACTTTATCGATGATTTCTGGCGTAGCAGCCTCAATTGGACGTCCTGAACGAGGTGCATCACATGTGGATGTACGACCACATTTAAATTCATTCACCCAATTGTATACAGTTGCAAACGCTGGTGCAGATGTGCTATGAACATTATCCAACTCGGCTTTGATTTCTTTCGGCGTTAAACCTTTCATATGTAGATGTTTGATCACTGCACAAAACTCGTTTTTTTTCCATTTTGCAAAAAATCCAAAGATTAATTGTTCGCTTTAATCATCTACAGAAATGAAACCTCTCTCGATGAATTCCGCTCAAAATTAGACAGTAATCAGCTGATAGATGCTACTTGTCAAAAAGTAATGTGACATGAAAAATTACATTCGTATAGTATATAAATTCACACACAACTATTTAGAAGCACCTGTGATCCAGACCGCTGTGGCATTGTCTCATTCGGTTTGAAATTTAACGGTCCAATAAGAATCGATATTGTTAACTTTATTAAGTTAGACATTAAGTTTATTGACATTGATTAATGATCATTCGTTGGATCAAAATTTTTTTCAGTGTAAGGTATTTGTTAAAAGATAGCATCATGTGACTGTGAAAGGTCAGGTATAAATTTATTTGGTTGTGTCGAAGACATGGTTCTATTATTTTTCCAAGAGATTTGATGAAGTTATATCCTATAAAAATCGTGTGTACCGATTCAAGATTATAAATTTTGAGAGATACAAATAACGTAATTTTATAAATTTCGAAGTCAAAAAATATAATCACAAATGCATATACGCACACAGATACAAACACAACTTTTTTCGTGTTAAATAAACTTTAAGTCACCAAATTAAATGAATTAAAATGACATTAATGTTTTTTTTTTAACTTAAGCAATTGAGCAACGAAAGTCAGGAATTATCTCAAGGAGGAATTCTCTTTTACATCAACATTCTACATTATTTATGACATTTTTCACCTTTATCTGACTCTGTGGCCAGCTACTTTCCAAAGAATTCAAGATTGCGATATAAAATTGGATTTTCAGTGACGTATTAATACCGATTCTCAGCAGTGATCATATCATCCAATATGTATATAATAATTTCCGGCCCGATGTTTTTTCAAGAAAATTTAAAGTCACGGTCTTTACGCAATATCTAACCCCTTAAATATTCGTAGAAACAATCAAAATGCATAATACATCTTATATAAAAATATTAGAATCAGAGCAAATAGTTGTATTGCAAAATAAAATAGTATAGATACTTTTCTTTATTTCGGCTGCACTTACTGTCGATTTAATTAAAAAAATATGTAATTTATTTAATTTTTTAATAAATAATCATTTAACGCGAAAAAAGTTGTGTTTATATCTATATGCTTGTGTGTATATTTATAATTATATTTAGCTTTAAAAATTGAAAAATTCCTTATTTGTACCCTTCAAAATTCATATAAATTATTTTAAATCCATGTTCCATTTTTATAATAAGGTTTACTTTTGCCAAATTCTTTGAGGAAATAATAGAGAACTGTTTCTTTAACACAGCCAAAGCCACGTGATCTTAGGAAAATTTTAAAAGTCGAAATAATAGGTATACAGTATAATTACGTTCGAATTTAAGATAGTCTGTATCAAGTTTTTGAAACGCATGCGCAAACAACCGATAACGTTAAGGAACGGTTTTCTCTTTTTCCTACGACCATTGTCAAGCCCACCGTCACTGAATGTTATAATAAGAACCGGACTTTACTGTTTTGTAATTTTGTCACGCTAAAGGTTTGTAAAAACTATAAATTTACTTAACTGTATAATAATGTATAATTTTTTAGAAAGTATAGTATGTGATATTAGATTAATTTGATTTTTACTTGATGAAATATCAGCATATCATATTAGCGTGTCTATCAGTACGAATAATTTCTCATTGCTTGGCTGATGTATTAAAAGTTTATATTTTTATTCAAAAATTCTGTATTAATTATTTACGTAAATATAATATTGATAACTTGAAAACTTGAAACTTAACTTTGCTACAATTCACTACATTTAAAAGTTTAAGATTATTCGAATGTCAAGTAGTATATTCGTGTACAATATTTTTTGAAAATAAGACGATCATTTTACGTTTATAGTAAGATTTTTGTTTTTTGTGTAGATATAATTCTTATCAGGATTGGAAAATAACTTGCAACGTTGTTATTACCATTACCCGTATTTTTTTAGGTAACAATTATTTTTTTCTGTCTGTAACGATTATGATAACATTAATTTTTACAGTAACGAATTAAACTACTATTTTTATAGTCATTTTAATTCTCTATTATCGTTGTATCTATTTAGTAGATTACATTATTTTTTATATCGTGTAGATAGAAATTTTATTTAAATTAAAATTTTAATGTTAAAAAATATTTTTATTTTGTAGAGATTAAAAAATAACGATATGGTAATCATAATTTTTCTAAAGTAACGTTCTCAACTCTGTTATTATATATATAGAGTAAAATTCTTGTATAAGTCGAAAGGTCAGAGCTAAATAATATGTTTAATAAAATCGAGTAGATGAAGAAAGGTTATATAAAATGTATTATGAAAATGTTTTTTATTGAAAAGTTACAAAAGTCTTCATCAATTTTTATTGTATTAATAATAAATAATGATACAAAAAATATTTAGGAGGGGGGGGGTTTTCAGATTATTAGAGTTGCGTTGCAAAACCGACAATTGTTCGGCGCGCAATTTGGGGGAACTACATATATTAATAGAACGTTATTTCCTACTTTGAATAAATATTACGAAGAATATCACTACGTCGACTCGCCATCAGAGATCTATTGATATTCGCAAATTTTCGTAAGTGTTGAGATACGCGTATATTTTTTTATATAGAATCTCGATTTAATAACTTACCAAGGCGTATAAGGTAGGCTTCCACTCAATGCCTTACTGATGAATCCAGTAGTGGAAGCCGGGACGAAACGCCAAAAATTACGTGATATTCTTCGCAATATATAATATTAGAATAAATTATCAGATTTAGATTTTAAATTGTATTTGACTCTTATTTGCCCTGTTTAACGTATTAATTATTATTATATAAAAAAAGTCCTTGAAATCTTCAATTTATTTGATACAAAAAAGAACTATGACAGAGCCTAATAAATTCGTTTAATTTGACAAAAATAAATAAATAAAGACAATTTTAATACAAAAACAAATGTTTCGACTCCGATCGGGTCATTATCAATGTTTAAAATATTTATGAGGTACATATATACATATAAAATAATTGTTAATGTATTCGAAAATTCCCTGTGTTTTGTGTCCTTGACTAATCACTTGTAGATTGTAGCATAAATTTCATTATCTTGATAATAAATATAAATTCTTAATTAAAAGAGATTATACATATAATGTAACATAGAAATTTTTTTTCATTCAGTGATATTTTATTGCGATTTGGCTCTTGATTTGGCTATGGATAATATAAATAAAAGATGGAATTATATTTCAACAAAGATCAAGATTCCAAAAAATGAATTGCAGTTAGCCTTGTCTTGAATTCAACTTTTTTACATTTAATAACAAATTCTATAAACAAATTTTTGGCACCCCAATGGGATCACCATTATCACCCATAATTGCTGACATAGTTATGCAAGATCTTGAAGAAACAGCTTTAAAAAAATTAGTGGTACAACCTTTTTTGTTTTATTTTAGATATGTGGACGATATTATTCTTGCAATCCCTCCAGATACCATTAAGGATACACTCAATAGTTTAATTCATTGCATGCAAGACTACAATTTTCCATTGAGGTGTGCAAAAATGATAGATTGAGCTTTCTTAATTGAAACTTATCATAATTGAAAATCAAAAAATAATTTTTGACACGTTTCACAAGCCGACATTTTCTGGAAAGTTCCTCAATTTCCACTCCAATTATCCTCTTTGCCACAAAAAAGGCATAATTATTAGTTTCATAGACAAAATTTTCCAAGTTTCACATCCTTGTTTCCAACAAAAAAATTTAATAGAAGCCATTCAAATTTTCTTAAATAACTGTTTTCCTCTTCCTTTTTTTTTATAATTCAACAAAGAATAAAATTCCATATATATATAACAAACATAATAATAATGTACAAAATAACGATAAATATTTTACAATCCCTTATGTAAGATACATCTCAGAAAGTTTCCTCCCTATTTCTACTATGTTCCACTGCAAGTTGGCCTTTTCCATTCATAACACTTTGAAGGAATTTATTAGGAGAGGAAAGGACAAATTAGATTTATTATCTAACCAAAATATAGTGTATAAAATTTTATGCGACGATTGTGAGGCTAGCTATGTGGGTCAGACTAAAAGAAAATTAAGTACTAGACTAAATAAACATATTTCTGATATTAAAAAAAAGACTGGTTCACCTTCTGTAATAACAGATCATCGCATTAATTATGATCATAATTTTAATTAGAAAGGCATACAAATTCTTGATAGAGTATCCTTCATACAATAAAAGATTGGTATCAGAGATAATTCACAAAAAAAGACAAAAACAGGGTCTTAATAAGCAGAATGACACCGATTCGTTGCCTGATACTTACTCTAATATGTATTATACAATCCCTTTCCCCTTCCATTCTTCTCCCTCCTTTTCTCTTAATTTCCTCCTTCTCTATAACCTTTTTCCTTGTCATCTTCCAGATATTTTTCAAAATTAAAACTGTCTCTGTAACAGAACTGACAACATTACTTTGTTCTCTTGTCAAGTCATCAAAAATTATGAATTTGATTCATGTCACAAAAAATAAGGTATGCTATTATTCTTTTGTTTTCGAAGCGTTTTTAACTTAATTTAATTGTCATTTGTTAAGTAATATAATATATAATATGCGTTACACAATTTAAATTTCTATTTTTATTCTCACACGCATATTTATGATTGTATGTAATACTTGGAGTCCTTTTTATATATTTTATATTGAATTAATTACTCTGTATATATTTTTCAATGATTATGTAATACTTCGAGTCCTTTTTTAATTACTCTGTATATATTTTTCAACAGATATTACTTCGAGTCTCTGCGCAGACAAGTATCGTTACATGTACTTTCAATATTCACAATAACCGAAATTCAATGACATGCGACATGTGAGAGAGATGACGAGCGTCCATGTCTGTA